CATATTTTTGGGCAGCAGAATGTGCAATTTTTCTGGGCTTGATTTGATTTCAGTTGAATCTCTCAGCTGATTGTTACTATGTAAAAAAATTTGTTACCCAGTTGTGTAACATCAAAATTGTTTCCATGACTTAAAACATAAAACTTTTAAAATTGACCACAACAAAACTGGGCTGCTCGGAGCATCACACGCAAATCTAGTAACGACAGTATCCTCTCAGCAGATATACTCCCTACGAAAATTTTTCTGCAATGACACTGTGAGAGGATTTTGGATGAGGTACCAATTCATGGGGGAAAAACGTGTTCATTATTCAGCTATTTCTATCAGAGGCCCCAGTTGAAAATCAAGACTACATTGTTCTGGTCAATGCAAATCCATGTATTAAAAGACAATTCCTACTTGAAGGAACTTTCAATTTTACTTTATGACAGAAGGTTATGTATGTTTTTTCATAGCCTACAGCGGGGTGAAAGGAAAGAGACATTGAAAAATGAGAATGCACAAAAGGTTTAATGTAATGAAGTCAGTCAATGAAACATTGTCCTTCTCTCTTATTTTTTTAAATTTTAATTCATCTACCTCAAGAAATTAAAAAGAAATAACTTTCTCAATGATTTCTTATTTCTGTTGTGAAATGGATTTATTTTGGTTTTTTGCCTCAGTTTTTTTCTCCTTAATTTTTATGCTTTTCACTTAAATTCTCCACTTATTTGTAGTCTGACTGTTACCCTCACCTATTGCTTTAAACAAATGCAACCTCTGTAATTCTGAGAATACGCCACAAATGTTGTTATCGGCCGGCGTGCAAACTCCCAGCACATTCAACAGAGATGAAGGAAATTAAACAGCTTCGTAACTCCCTGCTGGACTGAGGTCTGATATAACGGACTCAGTGTTGCAATTCTACACACAAATTCCCTCTGCAAGCTAATCAAAACCACCCACAACACAACCTGGCTTTCACATGCACTTCTCTATGTGAAAATCTAGAATTCTGACCAGCATTCATAAAAGCTGTGAGGTTTTGTGTTGCTACAAACCTTAATCAAATGAAGTTATGTTCTTGATTGTTCTAAGAGAAAGTAATTTTCCTGGGGATGTTTTGGAGGACATCAAACCTTAAATGTGTTTTATTATCCCAGATATTCTGCAAGACTGTTTTCAAAAAGTTTGTCTGATGGCACTAACATAAATCTTTTCAAATTTTAGTCTTCCCTTAATACTCATCCATGGATCTATAATTTCTTGGGCTTGACAAATTTAGAAAGGGTTCTTTGCTGGCTTTTAAAGGAAATGGAAGAAGATGCTTTCAAGACTGAATACGTCACCAGCACCAGGAGTCATTTTGATCAAATTTAAGTACCTTTGATAAGCTTAGGTTTCTACCTCATAACAGATGATGTTGCTGGCTATTGCTGAATGTGAAATGATCTCCCCCGACACCCCTTTCTTCTGTGGCAAGAATAGTTAAAAACCTGTTTATCACTCAGCCACACACCTATTTATCTTGACTTATTTGAGTGGACTCTTTCTTCACTCCATTCCCATGTTGTTATCTCCTTTTCACTTCTTGTTCCTATTTTTTTCTTGTTACCCATTGTCTCACCCTCTTCCCCCACCACCCCACGTTTTTGATGAACGTCAAACCATGCCTTATAGCTCCATCTGTGTATATCAAGCAACACCTCAAGCTTGCTCCCTTCTGGGGCAATCTTGGCATGGATCACTTCCCAGCAGTGTTACAGACAAATATGTGACTTCATTCCAGGCCCTGGATACAAACGACCACAAACCCCATGTGCCTTAATGAGTTTGTACCTTGCTGCAGGGAGCAACCCAGTAGGCTATGGCGAGGAAGGGCAGGCCAATGGAGACCCCAAAGACTGCCAAGAACTTCACAGCTATAGATTGTTGCCGTAAGCCTGAGAGGTTTTCATACCACATGGTAAGCAATTGCTGCTGGCAGTTGGGATGAGCGACAAACTGTAAGGGAAAAAGAAACACAAGTATCAGTAGCACTGTGTGAAGAGGATTTCAGTGAATAAATCTTGAACAAGACAGGGACCGTCTTTGTTGCCCAACATAGCTTATGGTGTCACAAGCAGAAAACTGCAAACCAGGCACCCCGAGTCCTCAGGCACTGACAGAACATGTTCCACTTCTGCTTCTTCTCTTCTCTAGATAAAAGTTTTGTTAGACAACAGATTGTTTAGATAAGAACCCAAAATCCATTGGTGGCCAGCAGTGACAAAGTGCCTCTGTGGGCAAGGTACCTCTTGAGGTAAGACAGTCTACATTGAGATTCAGACAAGGAACAGAGAGGCACTTTGATGTCAAACTGAAAGAAAATCTCTGATAACTTTCTAAAGACACATACCATTGAAACAGTAGCTCAATACAGCACAAATATTATGTTGTTCTATTCACTGTGTACGGACCAAAACTGAACCATTCTGCATGGTTCTCCTTCTGTAAATTTTAAGAGCTCTGTCTGGTATTTTTGTACTTAAAATGCTTTACCTCAGTGTACCTTTCAAAAAATGACAGCTCACTCTTTACTGATTGGACAAAAAGACAAATTCAAAAGCAGAAGGAAAAGCTGTAGTGCTCTGGTACAGCAAGCACATGTTTTGCATCCTGTAACTGAGACTCCTCTTCAGTTTATTGTTCAGAGGAAAAAGAAAAGGTGAGCAGCAGACAACTGAAAAGGGCAATTTCTTAATAGTAAAATTACAGCTCCACCTGAACCCACAGAAGACTTCTATAATAAAAGATTAAACTTCTTTATTTCATATTGTTTTCGGGATGATTGAACTCAGAATGTGACTGTCTTTAATCACAAAGGAATACAATTAAAAGGTAAAATAACTGAAAGAAGGGATGAAAAGTAAGTCTGATGCTAATGTAGCTGATTGCATTAGCAGAACTGAATGTTTCATTTACAAGTTTTGTAGCTGAATAAATGTAAAAGCCTCTACTAATTTGACAAAGTGGAATTTTCTGGAGGTGGGGGAGGGGAGGATGGAGGAGGTAGAGAGAGAAAGAGAGGAGGAAAACAGAGGCTACTAGTGGGTTCTTGGCTGCTGTTGCCCCTGCCTGGCACGGTGGACGTGAATCACATCTGGCAGCTGCCCTATTGCCCTGCTTCAGCCCTTTAAATTGCAACGAGCAGGGGGGATTTCAGCTGCTATCTGTAGTTTTCTTGGGACTGAAAAGCAGACAAAATTCTAAACTGCACTTTCATCTTCACTATCTATGAAACAACAATCAAACCGGGAATTTAATGGACTCTTTTCTAGATGTTTGCGTCATAACAAAACCCTTACTGTAAGTTTAAACGATCAGTTCATTGCTAGTGTGGAATGAAATACAGTTGCACAGTAATTAGGATTGCTGTGGAATAGCACATTTTCTTCCTTAACAGCACATTAGCAGCCATTTAAAAAGTGCTTCTTCGAATGAATTAGGCTTTGGGGCCTGCAATTCTCAAAAAGAAAAAAATAGAAAATAAGAGTTTACTTCTTCCACTGAATAAATCAATCAAGATTGAAGAAATTTGATAAGTACTTTTAAGTTCTTTTTCCTGAAATGATTAACAGCTTAATATGCTTTCTTCTAAGCTGCTTTGAAAAAAAAATAAAGAGTTCAAAAAAGTTAATCTATAAATCGTCAGTCCTGGCAGTCCTCGTCCTTCTGAACATGTAAAGTTTTAGGTTAAGGTGATGACAGCAATATTGCAAGGAGGCATTTCCTAACACCTTGTGTTTGTGTTTGTGCTCACGCTTGTCATCTCTCTGTCAAATGGACAGAAAAATGAAGGTGAAGAAAGATAGACAGAGAATTGGTTCTCTTTGTAAATTTTAGTTTCAGGTATGATGAATTCAACAGCAATTGCAGCAACTCATGGAAAGGAAAATTACATTGGTAGATGTGCAGACTTCTGAGATGAAGGGTCAAAGCAACAGCTCGTGTAATTGTTCACCACATTATGAGGATTGATTCAGACAAAGAAATTCAGTTGTCCTTGGCAAAGAGACGGTCAAAGACTTTTGCTGGTTGGCATTTGAGAGAATTCATCAGACATTTTAATCTGTTCAGTTTTTCACTCTGTCTGGGAATAGCTACAATGAAAATACAAATATAGGAAAATTGAGAAGGAATTGCCATAAAACCCAGTTCATTGGAACAATTTATTTTATACAAGGCAATAAAGGCAGGCAGCATGCCACAGAGCCTTGATGGTGTTCATCTTACTCTGATTATTACAAAAATGAGGGAAAAATAATATCAGGACAAGAAAGATAAGACCATGAATGAGTTTTGATCTGTTATTTGCTTACAGCAAGAAGTACAGTTTTTCATTATGCTGGCTCCATCAGGTATTAATGAAACACACAGTAACCCTTGGACAATGTCAATCCTCGATCTGTCAAAAAATTCAGAAATTGAGCTTAGATCTCATCAGAGACGTTACAGAGCCATTTAACTTCTTCTCTTCTCTGGGAATGGGCACTGACAGCAAGTTAAAGATTACATTAATGCTTTGCTTAGTGTCATAGGCACAGAAGAGAACAGAGTTCAAGACAAACACTTCAAGGCAGAATGCTTCCAAGTGTAATGAAAAATGGGGATACAGCATACTGAATTTCAGAAGCCTACATGCTGCAATGCTTTTCCAAAGTCCCCATTAAATGCTGTTTCCCTTTCTTCTGTACCAGAAAATGAGGCTAGGAGGCTTTTAGGGGTAAACTGTGACTGGGCCCCTGCTGAGTCCCGTAAGAAAAGGTAGAAAATGTTGCAACAAGAACTGTGTGAGGGAGGCTGTGCAGAAGGGCAAGATATCTCTGACTGAAATGAAAGCACTGGTAGTACAGGGGATTGCCTGGGTCCAGAAGAAGCCATTTAGAAGCATTAAGTGTTTCGTCTCATGGGCAGAGTGAGTCCTCCGCAAGCTGATAAGGGTGATGCATCGGGATCTGGGAGCTCAAGCAAAATTCTTTCCATTTTCCCTGCATTCAGAAACCATGGTGGGAACTTTTCTGGCCCCATGGCACAGGAACCCCAGTAAATGGCAGTGGTTTTTATACCATACATACTGCTCTGATTTAGGAAGAAATTGTGTATTTTTCTCCAGCCTAGTAGTTACATATAGTTATAAAATTAAAAAAAAAGGCTAAAAATAAAATACAGTAAAATCATGCATCAATCTGAACAATCAGCTCAAATATGAAACTTCCAAAGCAGCATTTTTGCAAGCTACTGAAATATCCAGGAAAGTACTGACACCTCCAAAAGCCACTGCTCTGTGCTACATGGGGTTAAATGAGTGAGATGAGTATCTGTCTAGAATATGGAAAAAAATTTCTCAAAGCCTTTGATGGGAACTGAAAGGACCCAAAGTAACTATTTTACACATAGAAATAAGGAGAGTGTTTTAGAGACCACTGTGGATGCTGCATTGAATGATAACATTTCCACATTGCTATCTAATTCAATGTATGATGGCTCTTTCGCATAGTTTATCATGTATATGCATTGTGGGAAAGCACTTTATGGTTTGCACAACAGTGAGATACTTTTCCTCAGCATATTTTTTCAAAAATGCATGAGTTTACACAGACAATAAAGTACCCTGACATCTCTATAACTGTATAGGAAGTTACTTCTGGCAGAAAACACTGTAATAGAAATCATCATTCAATTTTTTACTTCCTATTATATCGGATAAAGAAAGAGGCTGTGATGAGGGCCTCAGACAGTGCTACTGTTCAGTATTAGCTCTGCTGCTGTCTAAGCCGTCAGGGCTTAGGCACTGTTTAAACAATCCAAATCACCCCACAGTCCCCACCTGAAGGACATCTCTCTTATCCTGTGGAACATCACAGATAAGCTACAGCCCGGTGACAAAAATGCCAGGAAATTCTTGAGAGTATCAGACAACATGGAAGGGGAGAAGGGGGAGAAGGGGGAGAAGGGGG